AAACGCGAATATCGTATAAATACTTGACATTCAATTACATCACGATTATTATGCTAGTCCGCGCGTAGAAATTTTGCACAGAAGGGCAGATTTCACGGGCCGATGTTTCAATTCGATCAATAAGAATTGTCATGTGTCCCCTTTGCACAAAACAGTGCATCTCCAATTCCACGCGACGAAATCTATTCACTCCATTTCAATTAATAAAAGCAAAGGTTGCATATTGTTTTTGTGAATATGGAACTTGTGGATGATGAAAGTTGCTGGAAATATCGTTTGTGCATTTACGTAAAATGTAGGTACGTAAATACCTCGAAAAGTAGAGGTATTCATATATGATAGAACGCGGCTTCAAAGTTCATCAAATATTCCTCGGTCTCCGCGCGTTTTCATGGTGATCAAATAAACCAGTCTATCTTGCTGTAATGTGTGATGGTTTCAATCCCATGCGCCCTTTTCACTCAGCGAAAGAATAGAAAAGAGGAGGTATATTCGAGGGAAAATTTCTCTTGAACGATGGCACTTAACGATTCGCCTTTGCAACTTGCTCTTTGTTCGTAAGACTGGTCGGCGAAGCGCTGATGGAAGCGCGATTTCCGATAATACCAATTGTAAACGCTTCACCGCGCCGTACGCAAAGTAAGAGCATAGCCGAGTTGAACGAGCGAAGTGACCTTTTCAATGGGTTTCGTTCGCGAAGAAAACACGCAACAATGAAAAACATTATTATTACAGGTAACAGATTAACAAAAATGTTCAGAGACGCAGGGAAAATACAAAAAGTAATAACATAGCCTGGCGAAAGGAAACTTCGGTACGGTCAATATTTGAGAAGATAATTTCAGAAAGGGTTGAAATAATATTCCTTGCTACATTCCTGTATCTCTGTGTGAAACAAGAAAATAAAGCAAAAAATCCAGGTAGAAATGTACGCAGTTCTCCTAGGTACCTATCCAGTTACTGTGTCTAATATTACTGTACTTCTCATTAGTTGTAACAATACTGCGTAGAAAATGGACGAGAACTTTTTTTGTTCAATAAGCAGTTTTCCTGATAAAGATATAAATTTGCATAGACAGCTGCTGTTTAGTACTAATAAATTATTAACAGGTAAAATATTACGTTTATTTATCGTTTTTGTTTTCCGTAAATGGATTTTATGTAATTTTTTGTGCGCAGTGTAACTGCAAGCAAAGCGTTATATCTTAATTGGATACCGAAGTAGCTTTACTTTTCAATTACTATAAACAGAGTTAATATAACTGTCCAGTAACTGCTCAGAAAATGCAATAAAATTTAACAAATCAGGAATATTTAAATAAATTATCACTGCGCATGATTTATTCTAAAATGAGAATAAACATAATCTCTCTTGACAGTAAGAAATACAAGAAAGAAAGAAGCTAGATAGAGAACACTTAAGGCTCCTGAATACTCAGCCAAGAAGTCCGTGTTGATGGGTAGCGACACCGAATCAGTCGGTGGCTAGCAAAACTGGTAGTACGCTACTGGTTATACACACAATTGCAAGCTCATATCCGTGTGCTCATTTTCGGGTAGAAGGGGAGCGCACAGACATGGGTTCATGCTTGTGTGTGTGTATAGCGCCTCGTCATGGTAAAAGTCTGAACTAATAGGCGTGAAAAAGTGATGTTTTGACGACAAATTTTTTCTTGCGTGCCATTTTGTCAATATTTGCTTATTTGTGAAAATGTGACTTCCCTCGTACTCGTGAAAGTCCTAAAAATTGGCGGAAACTGCAGTTATCGTGAAATTTTATACGTAAAAGCGTATATTTCACTCGTTTCATCAGCTGTCAAAATGTGTGATTCTGCCCGAGTATAGGCTCACTTTACGTGTCTTTTACGACCATTTACTGACTATCAGAGGAGGAAAGGACAGTTTCCGCCAATTTTCACAAGTGTTTTTGAGCGATCTCGCCTTTTAAATTTATCCAAATTGTCTTTATAAAAAAATGGGACGCAAGAAAAATTAATGTGTTTTTCTCGCCTATGACGTCACAATTCCAATATGGCCGTCGCCGGTATTCAGGAGCCTTAAAGAAAGTCCCTTTTCTATATAAATAGTAAAAAAAAATAATGTCAATAATTAATTATTGTAAATTTTTTTTTTAATTTTTCTAAGAAAATTATTTAAAAAGAATTTGCGATTAAAAGAAGATAATAAAAGAAATTAAGCAAATGTTTCAGAAACATTTCGTACGTATTCAAAAAGTAATGCTCTTTAAGTTTGCAAGAAAAGGTTCAATATATGTTATTGCAACAGTAGTCCCGGGCCAAAATAAAAAAAAACACTTTTCCCGAAGAGAAATCGTGTGAGAGATAGCTATAATTTTGAAGTGTACTTGTAATATCATATCTCTGTCAGACCCATGTAGAAAAAAAATTTGCGAGATAAAGGGTGTATGAATAATACAAAGGCAATTTCCGGGAGAGGAGATACACCACGGTATCACGTACGGGCAAGTGCAAATAACCGCTCAGGGCAGAAATCGAATTTTCTGTGGGAACATGGGACGATTTAGCAGCGTGTGTAATCAAAGGACTGACGACCGAGGCAAATTAACCAGCAATTGTGCAATCCTGTGCAAACGTGAGCTAAAAGATTTTTAATTTACTAATTTGTTTTACGCGCGCACGTAGATGGCCTATGAAATGTGAATAACGTTGAAAAATAGTAATACGATTAAGAATATTCCCTCGTAGAATCGTATTTATCATAATCTAGTAAACCACGTTTCATCTGCCCAACTTAAAGTAATTGATATTTCAGTAATTAAATCTCTGTGTATGAAAATGAAAACTCGCCCTACGTACTTTATGTCAGAAAGATTCAGAGAGCAAAGTAGTTAAATAAATGTGTAAATATACAGCAAAATAAATCCAAAAGTAATCATTCTCCGATTTGAAGTTGCACGAATTAATGCTGCGAATATTAAACAATTTTCTTCAGGAATCGCTGCTTTTGCATTTTTAGTTTCGTTCTGACAAATTCCCGGAAATGTCGAAAAGTCCACTCATGTGAGAGTGCTTTTCTGATTCAGAGAAAGAGAGACAAATAAGAGTACATCTCACAAGCGAGGCAAAGAGTAACACGCGACGACAGGTTCAAAATATTTCGCTCGCAAATTTATCGCGCGGTTTTTTTCCTTAGTCAACATAACGTATACGTTCATTTGCCCTCACGCCACTGAGCTTATAAGCACCCTACAAAGAATTTTGCTCTTACGGAATGAGAGATGCGCTCGTTACGCCAAGTGCCTCAACTTGCGGTGCGCAAAAACGGCGAAAAAGTAATGAGACGCATAAAAGAGTGATATAAATACGAGCGAAATAACGATAAGATCCATATATAATGCTAGCGTAATGATTTGTTTCCATTGAAGAAAGAAATAATTTATATAATATGTTACGTTCGTGCGAGTGTGGAAGTGCATTTCCGAGGTGCAACGCGCCATGAATTCTCTCTCTGTGTGAACCATGGAGTATTCTACACAAAGCACGACCTACTTCAAAAGAAATCATTATTTATCGACTTGCATATTCATTGTCAGACTGTTTCAAATAGCATTAAAATTCTCAAGCCACACTAGAATGTTAGAGAAGTGGTTGCTCTTACATTAATCTCAGTTTCAATGAATATTAAATGTGTAAAAATTTTGATACTGTTTGATTGTTGACAAATATAAAACGCGATCTTCGAGCAACGTTGTATTTACTCAAAATTAAAAAGAGAATTCTCGAAAAATAAATATTACGACATCACAATAACAATCTGAAAGATTAATGATAAATGATTGATATGTGACTTGAATACGTGTAATTATTAATCACAATAATATTTGATTATACTATTTGGATGAACGCTTTCCCAAAATCTGCTGGCATAGCACAAAATGCTGTTATTTAGCAATCAAATATGCACATGTTTCGTTCCAGGAAATCAAATTTCGCAGTAAAGACGAATGGATAAGCAGATATACCGAAATATATGGGGTACATATTTTACGTCGCGATCGATATCGCGCACTGTTTTAACTTTTTTAAATTGATTTAAGTCAACAATAAAAGCGCTACGAGTATGCACTTTAAATATATACGTATATTTTTCATTAAGCTTCACTTTGTATCATCAAGAAAATACTGTATATGATTAATATCAGTGCTCTAATATAAGCCCCACTTTTGTACAAGCTTTTCAGCATCTTCCCCTTGTTGTATCTGCGAACGAGGAATTAATTAAAAAGTTTTCATCGCATATAATTTTCAGGAACAAAAGTACGGAGTTAAAGAACCGATTAATTTTTCTCTGCCAGAGCGAGTGTGCGTAAACGCTCGAAAATTGTGGTCAAAATTAGATACAACCTCCGGAGATATTTTCTTTTTAAATATTAAAGCGCTTGTTTAAAATGGATGTACAAGGTGTGTCCACACTATCCACGAAAGGCGAAGAGTAAACACATTCGAGATAATATACATGAGCGAAGTTATTCGCTCAAACGTGCTTTCAATTTTGCCTATCTAAAATAGTTTAAGCGAAGCGGTTTTATGCGGTGCTCCAGCGATAAAGTAAGCTGACGCGTGAAGCATGTCGACCCGCGTTTGAAATGATATATACCCAGGATTCGCTAAAGTAGTCTCGTGAAAATAAGACGCTTTAATCTCACGAATAACGATGTAAATGGCGGTTCAAAGTGATTTTTTCACAGAGAATATCAATCCTGTATTCACAAGTATCTTTAGTATACACGATTGGGTCACTCATGTTCCGCACATTTATTTTTTTCAAAAAATTAAGAGCCTCAAATAATTAGTTATAACATTTGTATAGAATACATACTCTGCCAAATACTTTCTAAAGATATTGAAGTATGTCAGGATATATTTGTTAAATTAGGTAATAAAAATTAATTCGGAATGACCTATCGTGTGTAGCAAAGGATCGGAAATCATTGTAAGGATTAATATTATGGAGCTTACCGGCGCCGAAAGCCTGTTGTCCATTTTTGTCGTCAGTTGGGGTGCCCTCTAAACTCGCGGGACCGCTGTCCGCTCCACCGGTCGCACTGCAAAAATATTTTTCCTGTACATTCCATCGTTTATCTGACAAGATCGAACGGGATGCTGTGCTCGCGAATAGTAGTAGAGCCGGATCGTTGCATGTGAAATATTGGATTCCAAAAAGTTTCAGTTTTATGGAACGCTTTTACAATATAAAGTGAACATTCTTCAAGATAATAGTATTACCGCTTTAAAGTGACATGATTCTCTCTTACAAAAGTATTTTTTTTTTTTATTTTGATCTGTCAAGCTATAGCAATTTTTTTGTAAAAAAAAAAAAAAACATAGAAACTAAAGGAGAATTCGTATTTATAATAATTACTTAATTTATACAACACTGAATAGGTATAAAGCCAAAACCTTACGATATTTTAACCTTTTCCATCTTAAAACTGTTTAATTAGAAAAAGATTAGTTTTTTTTACACAAAGATACAAAAGAGAGGCATTGATTGAGTATTTAATTTTTTTTATTTCCTACGTACATTTAATTTCTGCGAAAATTACCCTGTCGCAATATATCGTTGATGATAAGAGAGACATTACATATGCAACGATCTAATAAAGCATAAATAAAATATAAATATATTAACGCCCACCTGCTTGCATCGTCATCCTTGACTTGCTCGCTGACGGGAGGCTGACTCTCTTCAGGCAGACTCTCTTCTGTTTCGGTTGGCGGAGGGGCCTCACCTTCGGCAGCCCCAGCGCCGCGACTTAACCCGGGTATACCGCCACTCAACCAGCCGGACATTTGATTCTTTACTCCAGCAAACATTTCCAATTTATTGCCTTTTGGACTGTAAGAATACAATGTATCTTAAGTGCGCTTGTTGCAGAGAAATGTGAATTTAAATGGAAATTCTGAACAAAAGGGATTCTACGACTTCACTAAAATATGGATTCTGTACAATATATTAAAGAGAAATTGAAGCCCCTCAAAGATTGCGTGTATTAGGAATATGACAACGAAATATGAGAGAATCGTTTGTATTGATAGTGACGGTAAAATTAATCAAACAATGTGCAACGTTAAGCCAGCGTGACCGGTGTGAAGCTGGCGCCAGACTTTATCAAAAATAAAAATTGATAGCACAGTGCGTTTGTACTTCGTTTGTACCGACTTTTATTTCGTTTATACTTCACAGTACAAAAAAAAGTAAAATATAAAAAACAGCCAACTATAAGTTTTTTAATCTCGTTTATGCCATTCGAAAGAGAATCGTTTGTATCCATTTGTACCTCAAAGAAGAATTCGGAAATACAGCGCTTTACAGTTTTGGTGTAACTCCTATATAGCGAATTTAGCCAATTTTCAAGATATCGAAATGAGACCAACGGTACTTAAAAGAGAATCAGCTTGCTTCTATTCAACGGAGATACAGCTTTTCCAAAAAATAAAAATCGCTGTATCTCCGAACCCCTTTGAGGTACAAACGATTCTCTTTCGAATGGCATAAGCGAAAAATCTTGAAGTTGGGCGCTGGCTGTTTTTTATATTTCACTTTTCTTTGTATTCTTTGAGGTACAAACGAAATAAAGGTCGGTTGAAACAGGTACAAACAAAGTACAAACGCGCGCTATGCTATCAATTTTTATTTTTGATAAGAGCGGGGCCGCCAGTTTCACATTGGTGCCAGCGTGGCTCTTACAATTAGTAACATGAAAACAATAGAAAATCCTGAAAGTAAACGCAATTTAATTGCAATACAATGTTCTGTTTGTATATTTATATACATATATATTATAGAACACCCTCAATAGACACAATGGAAAAAAAAATATAAACGTCATGTAGCACGATAAACCGCAACGAACAACCGATCGATTAATTAGATTAGTGCAGAGAAATCGGATTACACGAGAAAGCGTGGGCTTGGATAGAATTACAAACGCGACCTTTTTAATCACTTCCTCAAATTCGAGAGCATAAAAGTTCCCTCTCGTCTAAAAACTTCTTCACTGCCAAAATTTAATGTCTCCCGCTGGAGAGACGTGAAAGCTCATACGTCATGCCACATCACAGTAGAAAAGCAACTAATTATCAAGTCAAAGGACTTGCAGAGACAAAATTCCCATTTGCATTAATCGTGTTATGAATTTGGTGGAACAGATAAGGTCAATGAAAATTTCGACACAAGTTTGTAAAGCCATACAACTCAATTTACATATACGATAGGATAACAATATTCCCACACACTTTTCTCTTATTAATATATTCTTAAAAAATATGTGCACTTGAAGAAATTATTGTATTTACATAGAATTAACTACAATATTTTTTCTTTCCTGTTTTGTAATTTGATTCCTTTAATAATTCGGTATATAATAACAATAAGATATAATTATAGAATAGATAATGAAATATTTTATATTTAATTCTGATATACATTGACAGAAGTAAATGAGATTATTCAGTAATATACAATACTAATTTTAATTCAATTTTCACTTATCTTATTTTTTGCACAAATGGATTAGATAAATTAATTCAAACAAATGTGATTACATTTTAGAAAAGTACGCAATTTCACACTATATACTTTTTCTTAAATGTACAAATTACACATAGGGGAGAATGTCCTAATCAGACCGTGTTCCAAATTGGACCTTTTTAATTTAAATAAATACAGTTAAGTAGATTTGCGTGCTATTTATAATGTAAAATCCTTATAAGACACCAAACATGTGGCAGTACTCTGTCGTAACGTTCATAGAATAGACGTAAATATGTATTTTCGGCTATCATGCGAAAATTTGTTTAAAAAAGAAAATCCTTGTAAATCATTATTTAAAAGATGTTAAAAATTTGAACGGTAATTGATTTAAGATAATTAAAGAGTGTAGAATTCAAAAAAATATCAAGAGTTTTGTGATTACTTTTGCGGTAAGCCTAATTCATCGCAGAAAGAAGGTTCGCCACAACCTGGTTTGTGGTGATCGACCGACAAGATCTGGTCTAAGAGACACTAAATCGATAAAATATCATGTGTCATCAAACTCAGATTGATGGAATTTTTTTTAATATAAACTGTATTTTTATCTTTGAGTCTCAAATTGCTCGTTTTTACTCAATACTAACAAAAATTAATTAAAATATTTCAAAATTCTATCTAAAATTCCATAAAAATAGGAGAGGAAAGTGCATTTTTACACTTTCCATTATTGTTCGACACAGGTAAGAAATACGTCAAAATGATCTGAAGCAAAAATGAAGGAAATTAAATGATCTTTCGAACGGCACCATTGATTTTATGATCGGACTTTGTTTACGCCTCATAGAGAACAAAAACTGCAAATAGGTCCGATTTAAGCCACTCTCCTATATATTCTTATAGTAATCAACTTATTTCAATGCATAAAGAGTATCAAAATAAAATGGTCGAAAAACGAAAATATGATTATAGATATTTTCTATTTTAAATAAATAAACGTAATAAAACATATATATCTCTAAATTCTAATAATTGCGTTTTATGATATGTAAATGATCAAAGGAATCGAATTGCACAGATAATATCACATTTCCAGTTAGAAAATATCTCGACATTTATACCATGTAAAACACCATGAAAAATACGTAAAATAGATTTTTGCAATGAACATACATACGTGGCAATAAATATTTAATTCGAATGACATTTCTATTGGAAAAGGATATGCGAATTCGTCGTGTGTAAACCGGTGGCGTTATTGCGAATCAAGTGCTCGTGTACTACTATACGATTGCCATTTTGCGAATTTGGTGTGACTGTAGTCGTCAGGTCGATCGAACGTGAAGCATCACGGAAGATTGATTTTGCGCGAGAGTGGACAAGTCACATTTGACGCGTTGTCATTGCGCACGCATAATTTCGCAGGAAGCACAACAATCGGGGAGCATAGGCCACGCGATAATCGTTGCGAAGTCGCGGAAGCGGTTTGTAAGAACACTTTATGAAGGCGTGAACACGATCCTTGGATTAACTAGAAGGTGCATTCTGCAACAATCTGCTACAAATGGCTACAAGTGGAGAATCTCTTTTTAGTTCGATCGAGATTACATATATTTTCATTTTCTGCGACGAAAATAACATGCATGTGTCGAGAAGTAATCAATAAAAGGTTAAAATAAATGCAATTAATTTTCTATAATAGAAATACCAAAATATATATATATATATGTTTGTTATTATTTCTAGGTTATAAATACAACGCGAGCGAATAAAATGTGGCGGCTAGCGTTAAGGGACGATCTCGCGTGTAATGGTATATCATAAATATGTACTCTTTAAAACGTTTAGAGTAAAATCTCACTTTTAAGGATTGAAAATTGTTTTTTTTTTCTTCCGAGACCGGCTCAATTTTCACTCTTTGTACAGAGATTCCACTTCAAAAGAATTTAGAGAGTAAATGCGACACGTGTTATGAATCATGCCTGAGCGTAAGTTTGAGCGTAGAATTTATACGCTCAGGCATTTCGGCGTAAATTTACACTCGACTGTTTAAATAAAAAATGTAGCAATTTTAAAAGGGAAGAGCTCCGAGTAAAACCGTGCAGGTCGCAACTTATCGTTTTGAAATTAAACGTATTCGTAACAACGTGTATCGTCGATATACGCGATTGCAAATTAAAACTTTCAAATGAGTTTTTGCATAAAGTTGCGTAACAAACTGCACACAGAAAACGAACGCACGTATTAATCGCATAAAATTATATACGGCCCCATCGGCGAACGTTTTATCGAAGTTACGAATCGCATTACAATTACTGCGTATACACAGTCATAGAGATGTCTGTTGTCGCAACACGTCAGAAGCAGATAACAGGTGATGATTATTATCGGCAACTGCAGCACAGCGCAGACTGTGGACGCAAAATTGCATTTGTCATGATTTTAATCGAAATCGATAGATGAACATCTAAACGACCCATCCAACGCGAGATAATCCGTTTCATCATCCAAGTCAAATATATAGGATATGCGCTTTCTTCTCACTGCATTGATATATCAGTCGTTCTTCAAATAACGTTCTGCTTCTGTTACTCATCAAGAAAGATGGAATAATGTTTTTGTAGATTTATGTCGTCGAAAGAAAAACGTCGTCCATAAATATCGCCGCGGAGTTTTAAATTTCCTGCGAAATGTTGATTCGCCAATCCACGGTTCTATTTGTCATGTCTATTTGGCAGTTTTTCATCACTTCGACAAAGTTTTCGCGATAAGACAATCGATTGTCCGGAAAAATCTTCCTGCAATTTCAGAACAAATATATCCAAAATAATAAGAGAACGATTATTGTTGAGAAAGAAAATTAAAGGCGTACAAAATCGTAATTTGTTTTTGTAATATCATTTAAAAAAAAAAGCACCTAAAAATTACCGGAAAGCGCTATAAAATATAATAAAATAATATACTTAATGTTTTTGTTATATTAATAAATAATGTAATAAGCTTAAAGTATTTTATAATTATATTGTAATAAAAATATTTATATAAGATTTAAACGATTTCTGAAAATCCAATTTCAATTTTAGCAGGGCGACACAAAATGCCATAAAAACAGAATCGACGTGAGTTCTTTCAAGCTATCGCACATTATCCGTCCTTAAAACGAAATTAAATATTTAAACTAACACGGGTCGAAAAAGAGGAGCGAGAAAAACATTTAGGAGAAAATGCTGAAAACGAGACCGAGGAGGAAACGGAAGTGGGCGTGCGTCGGCGGGATCTCGCAGCGACCGTTTTTTTACGAATTCGGCGAATGTCGTCGCGCTAGTTTACGTAAGTCGGGCGTTATTGATCTAATCGCGAAAACGCGTTCTTCGAGGCGTGGAGATCGTGCCGCGAGTTTCGAACACGGCGTGTCCTTTCCGAAGAAAAACAAACAGGAAAACCTGAAGGAGAAATTGTCGGAATAACGTGTCCAAAATACGAACATATAGACGTTCGGAAGACGCGTGTAATTAAGATGTCCTTTCGACATCCTCTCGTAAAGATGTCTTCGAGACATCTTTAAGGCCGGAAATCGGACTGCGCATTGAAAATTGAGATTGAAGATCGAAAATTGTAATTCAACCACAACGAGGATAAAGAATAATTTTAGCTCCTATTATTTTGATGAGCCAAAATTCAATCTTTCAATCTCAATTTTCAATGCGTAGTCTGATTCCGGCTTAAGACACCAATATATGTGCCGTCTGGTACAGCTACGATTTCTCAGGATGAGGGGGGGGGGTCCCCATAATCGCGACTTCCTCCGCTCGTTAATTTCACGAGACTTGCTCGCGACAACTTTTCTCGTTTTATTCGCGAACTCGGCTCACCTCGACTCTCAGGATCAACTATTTCCTGTCGTCCGGATGTTGAACCTATCGGAATCGTGTGGGTTTCGAATTTTCCATCGTTGACGGAGAGAGAGAGAGAGAGGGTCCATGCAAAGTGGAGTCGCGAGAGGATCGATTCGCGGCCAACTTCACGGGGCTGACAAATTCGCGGCGCAGTTCAGGACGCACGACGTTCGGACGTCACGGTGAGTAACGGCGACGTAACGACGCGTTAACGGACGGCGGCGAACGGAATTCGTAATGACAGCCGCTAGCAGACGAACTGCCTCCCCCCCCCCCCCCCCCCCCCCCCCCACCAGCAGGTTATGGCAGTGAACGCGAACGGCGTTACATACCTGGTGTTGTTCTTCTTCTCGAGATCCGCGCTGGTCTCGACCTCCGGCGAGGTGGGTTTCGGCACATCGGGGGTCGGCTCGCTGCCGTTCTCGGGCTTCTTGCCCATCCAGGTGGACACCTGATTCGTCAGGCCGGAGAACATCTTGCAATGTGTGCGTCGGCGAGCCTAGAAATGCTGCTCCTCTCTCTCTTTCTCACTTCCGCCTTCGATCGAACACGTTCCTCGCTCACGTCCTCGCCGGAATCGAGCGTTAACTGTCACCGAAACCTAAATAACGCGGGACCGGAATAACGACGGGGACGATGATACCTCGTCCGTCCTCGCGACAGCGCAGCCACGAACTGCGTAAGCGGCACGTGCACGCGCGCAGCTCGCGCTGCGCACCCGTCTCGCGACGCCAACGGCCTTGCGCGGCAGCCCCGCGAACCACCGGCGACGTCGGCGTGCCATCGATTGCACGCGTCTCGCGCCACCTGATTCTCGGGGGTTGATCCGAGTATTTTCGAAGCAGATGGAAATTATAAAAGTGAGCGATCAATTCACTGGGAATAAGATTATACTCCAATGAGTTTGCTCGTTTTTCTAATTTTCGTCTCACCTCTCAATGAAAATTTTACAAGACAATCGGCTCTCTCTCGGATTACAAACTAAAAAACGCGATCGAGAGTAATCGAGATAATGCGCGAGATGATTTTAGATAATAAATGCTGGTTATCCAGATAATTTTAATTTGCGGAGAAAGTTATATTCGTTAACCTGGAAACGATGGGTGAAAGACGATAAAATTGATACGCATCGTACAACGCGATGCTGAGAATTTTGATAGATCTGAAGTTTGCCGATGTAACGGCAAAGATTGATAGCAGGGTTCAGGCGGAGATTTATATATTCAGGGATGGGAAGTAACTCGTTACAGTTACTTTTTTCCATCTGTAACTATAATAACTTAGTTACATTTTACTAGTAACTAATAGTACTTTTATAGTTACTTTATACAAATTAAAAATTAATAAGAATTTTTATTAATATTTTGGATTAGTGCTGGAATCTAGAATTTATTTGCAACTTTTAGCTGAATAGAAAACGAATATTGTTTGTAAGAAAACATTGTATATGTGCTATTTCATATTAATTTATGTTACTTTAACGAAAAGCGTTTTTGCCATACAATTTTCTTCTTCAATACAATTTTTATAACATGTAAATAATAAACCAGTCTTTTTTTTAATTGTCCTAATTACTCTGATGACCCTGTATCATTCTTATTTAATATTAGGTGAAAAACACGGGTAAAACGATACACGAAGGCAGTTGGGTAACGTTTCTGAATGCAGCCCTAGTACCGATGCTACTAGTGAAAATCCTGATGAAAAAGTAACTTAAAGTTATTTCTTCAGTAACTGTAACGAATTACTTTCCAGAGTCAATAACTTGTAACGGTAATTAATTACTTTTTCAAAGAAAAACTGTAACTGTAATTAATTACTTTTACAAAGTAACTTTCCCATCCCTGATGTATATGTAATATCGCGTTATTTCTTTTTTAAATATTTTTCTTATGAATAATCATGAGCGTATCCAGGATTTCAGTCGGAGGAGAGGGAGCAAAAATTTATCTTCTCTTCGCATAAAACTATTATTAAAATACTTTAAAACCAGACTTTGAAAATCTTCAACAAACTTTCATATGAATTAATGCATGAGCTACGAATAGAACAATAAGCATTCAATTTTTCATGGTAAAAGTTCTCATAAATTAATTGTTTTTCTTTATCAAAATTTAAAGGAGGCAAGGTTCCTTCGCATATAATAATATCAGCAATACGTAACGCCCTGTAACATATTGGATGCATCTTATTTTATATTACTGTTATCTGGAGCTATGTGTCTTTTTTAAGAGATACGCGTACATAAGACTGCTTTTCTTTTAAGAGGCGCAGTCGACACAAATATTCTATCCTTGACATTCAATGAATAACAAAGGAAGAGCAAACTTGTGTTGACTTTTAAAAGAAAAATAGTCTAAGAATATAAAAATTGCTACGTTTTATTTATAAATACAATGTTTTAATTTTTATGACAAACTTCGAAAGCGTAATTTGACTCAAAATTAATAATGTAAAAAAAATTTTAATTGAGTCTATAAACGGGGGAAAAAGTTAAAGTTAAAAATTAAATCCCTCTTGGAAAATTAAACTGTAAGGATATTAATATTGTAAATAACGATGATTTAATTTATTCTACACAATATTTGTTTTCCATAAATATTTTTCAAAAAGAATCCAAAACAGTAGATTTAAGTAGCAAAGCAAGAATTGTCAAAATTATGAAAGTAAATATAATAATTTTCGTTCTAATATATATATTTAATAAAATGAGCTGTAGATTTGCATTGTCAAAGATTCAAGGTAACTCAAATCTCACGACAAAGATTTAACAGATGGATTAATAAAATGTTTAATATTATAATCAATAATATGAATATACGTGAATTTGTGAGCTTGATAATTACGTGGTAGAATCTAAATTTCCTCTTAAAGTCTCCTCAAGCCCCATGACATTACACTTGTCGAACATATCGACATCATCAGCATGATGAAATCCATTAATCAGACGAGATCTCTACCTTACTTTGAGTCTTCGATCGGTAATACGAAACATCCGAGTTCTCTGCGTTCGACAAGGATACGAGACGCACATTGTTCTTGTTAAGGCGCGACATCGGGTTCCACTCAAGTGTAAACACTATTTTACTGCCCGATAACGTAAGAATTATCTATAACACCTGCACACTCCAATGTCAAACATTTTTATCTTCCGGTAGTTACCTCGCCTACGAATACGAATAATGAATTGTTTACTATTTCAGAACGCAATGACATTAAAAATATTTGTAATTTTATTTGATTGGAGCAAGGCAGTTACAATGATATTAATTAAAATGTTACGATATTGACACATATATATATATATAACACTTTATATTACGTAACGTCGATATGTCATGCAGAAGCATCGTGAGCATCGTTACGTCTCGAGGTAGAACGCACGTGGTGCACAACGATCCAATACGTGTAGGTACAATCAGGTGTTATCAATGAATCGATAGCGCACCATATGTTACATACGATGCCTCAAATCCATCCGTTACACCCGATTATTCACAACTCTATTCCTTCTGTGCCCTGTGTAGTTGTACTTTCTATCTATCTAATATTTGTTTATCGTACAGCATCTGAAGTGAATGTCATATCGTGCATCATATATGTATATCACAGTTTGGCACCAAGAAGTCAATCGACCTTACGTAAAATTCGCTACATTTCTTTCGACCGAACATCTAAAAGATATCGTGAAGAAATTTGAAAAATCATGAGACGTTGAGACAACGTAATGCTTCGAAGTATTCTTCAATTGGTCGAAATTCTTTAATTAATAAAATTCTCTTCCTTCCGATTGATCAACTACATTAATGATTCAAAGCATTTGTAGTGAGACCGCATCCTTAGGATTATTCATAACAATATTAATTCGTTTCATCAAAGAATTCATGCTCGATCAAACGTAATTGTATAACTTCTGTATAATTTTTAAATATTTAAAGTTGTATATATTATATGTATCACCGATCTATCTTTCAAGTTTTTTGTTCGTCATTAAGACGTATTGGTCAGATACATTAGACGTCACTACTACTCGTCCCGATGTGCTAAATGGTAACATAAACGTTTCACGAAACGCGAAGTAGCGAAGAATTAAGTATTCCTTTTTTTTTTTGTTTCCTAGGAATGTATATCTATACATGTAGTTATCGTCAGTGAGCTGCATCCGACGGAATCGCCTTCGCTGTCTCCAAAGCTGCTTGTTGGCGCTGATACCTGAGGCAAATGTTAATTCGGTAAAGTCTTTAGAAAAATAGCTAACGCTAAAGTCACAATATCAAACGATATAAATTATGCAAGAAACTATAAACAAAACAAGAAAATGTTGACAAACTCGTTTAATCAATTCAGCTTCAAGATAGCTTTAAGAGAATTCTGCAGAAATAATATTTTTATTTTATAAATTAACTGAACGCTCGTTTCTCTGGGAAATTTAAAGAGAAATTTAACAAATAACAATAACGTAACAGAAATATTTGTAAAACGTAGAAATGAAAATATCGAAGCGTGAATCTGTTAGATGAATTTTATGCAATTTTATGGTGTAATCTACTGAAATTACGTCAAAATAATTACCTCAAAGCTCTCGTTATTTGATATATCGCCGTAAACGCGACGAAGAGGTTTACGCTAAAGAGATTCCAGTTTCTCGGGGTGATGACTAAGGAATATCTGGTCCAGATTAATCCCGTGATGCCCAAGGCACAAGATTGGCTGATGGAGATTTTGTTCACTGGTCTCTGCAGGTCACCGAGGCCAGCAATTACGAGACCCTATAAATTGTAGAGAGAAAGAGCGATTTACATAATATCCTTGGCGCATCAATATTATCTTTTTTTTTTTACGCATGTTGCACGTGTATACAAAAATCTTTCGCAATCTTAAACATTGAGCATATTTAATTGTTTTACGTTTGGTAGTATTTTATAATATTTTTATCATTTGTGTAGATACATGTGTAAATTCATAAAAAAATAAAAAAAAAGCCAAAGTACTTTGTCCTTTCCTTTTCGATTTTTTTTTAAATTTATTGAGCCTTTATTACTATATATATTATAAAAAATAGATTTTATAAAAAAATATTTCCGCTGTAAAATCAACGTACAAACATAAATAGTAATAACGATTTATAATATATGTGTTATGGAATTTATATTTATTTATATTTCGCACTTTATAGCGCAATATATAAAATGTCATACTTTGTTAAAATAAATGTTCAATAAAATTAGATTTCAAGCAAAAAATGAGAAAGATATATCATGTTTATTTCTGAAAACTGTCATGCACCTATTAAACATGTAACATCATTATATTACGAATGAATGTAGCATTTAGAGTATTCCTGCAACATGTCTGTTTGGTTGTTTGTTAACATACATTACGCAACTACCTCGAAGCAAAATTGTGTGTCTACACGCAAACTATTATTCAATCACTTGATATATCACAATGATATTTTTAAAAAATTCTAAGAAAGTGAGAGTAAATTGTATTTCAAAGCTGAAAGATAAAAAAAAGTCTCGCTACATTAATTAGAATCTGGCGGATTTAATCAGAGAGGTATAATTCAGACACTTATAACGCGCTAAATCTATTAAGATAATAAAAAATTTAATTACGACAACTAGAATTCTAATTTATATGATCAAGATTCATTTTGTTTCTACTTCTTGTTGATACAAACCGACTTTTCTCAGCATAAAGAAAAGCTGAAGACATTTATTACGAAACTCTATCTGCACTTTGTGTTTATGCAATGCCGTTTAATTGCTCTGGATCTTTTCCATTTATTTATTATTCGATAACTCATCAGAATCACGATACAATAATATAAAATATTGAGGGAATGAAACAATGTCACTAACCCATTTGAAGGCAGGTGCCCAGAAGAAGATGGTTTGTGGACCTAAAAAAAGACACGCAATCGATATAAGCACTTGTTTTAAAAGGATAAAAAAATTAAGCAAAGATTTCCAATAAATTGTCACAATGAAACAATTGTATCATTGATTGGAAAAACAGATATAGCAAATTTATCTCGGAAGAGTGCAACATCCTAATACAAGGCTTCGGATGGATCGACTGTGCTAAATCTGCAGTCAGCCTATATCTTTCATACAATTTATTCGAACTCAATGTTCGTAGCATTTAATAGAAAATATAGAAGAGTAATAGAAAATTCGTAATATGTAAAAAATAATTTAAAAAAAAAAAAGAAAAATAAATAACCGACTTCAAAGGTCCATCGCAATCAAATCAATATACCAGCACTAGTTATTGGTGCATCCTCGCTGTAACGTATATGCCCTTGACTCTATTCGCTCTATCTATTAAAGCTTCTCTGCTCTGATAGTTTCAAGTAAATTCGTCAGAGAGCAACTTTAACACAGACACGAGGCCTCGTTTCTCTCCAATTCGGTGAAGATACAATCGCCCAGTCTCTGCCAGCTACGTGAAAAAACATGTTGGAAAATAGGACAACTCGATAGAACTCGGTAGAATAAATAAATATCAATCATTTTCTCGATCATTCAACTCGAGATTTCATACCTATAAGAATAATTTCGTTTTATTCGTATTATACCACGTCGATTACTGTTCTACATCTTAAAATGTATAGTAAATTCGCTAAATATATACTATTTATGTACATTGTTATGTTTATCGGGAATATTTATTATCTAAAAAATGTATAAAATATTATAAATTTTTATTCAATGGAAAATTAATATATATAATGTTAATAATATGCAATTAAATGTACAATTTAATTGTAATTTAATATTATTAATGCTGGTGAACGTTTTATAAGCTTATGAGAAAGTTATGTGCGTGTGATATCAAATTAATTTCATCTATATATTTCTATGAAATATTATAAAACAAGATGAATTCAACGTTATTATTGATTTCTCTAATCTGATATGATCTGCTACAATTTATCAGCAATTTTTGTTTATCTTCCTTCCGATTCACGAGTGCCTGTTTAATATTACAGATACGCGTTGTAGATTAGTCGTAACGTATAACGATAAGATTGCAAATGTCAAGTGGCTTCGAGTATTTAGTCACAAGGTTGAAAATATTGCCAAATGAATGAATTTTGCACGTCTCGATTAGCCCGGATTAGTTTAATACAAAGTGTGAAATAACGATAAATCATGATATTGAAGCAAGTTCATTAATTCAGAATATATACGTAGTAGACTACTTGAAAAAATGCGACCTCGAGAAGACTGCATTATAAAGAGCAGTGTTTGCTATTCGCGTTCTATCGTCGGCAAGTCGCCAAGTCTTACGATATCAATATGCGGAAAAATGTTTACGTCACTGCACCTGATAAACCGAGATAAAACTAGAGTCAAAACATTTCCGCATTGCACTACCTTATCGTGGTTCATTGCTAAATATCAATAAACAGAACCTAGCGAATATATTGCATTAATTTAATTAACTCACAATTAATTACCGTAAAATTAGTTCGAAATTTAAAAACACCACAATTGATCCAGAATAGAATAAAACCAAGTAGTAGGCTTCGACTAAGATTGAAATTTGACCAATGAGGGTAAAGGAATTTTAGCTCCTATTATTTCGATTAGCCAAAATTCAATCTCAATCTTCAATGCGTAGTCTGATTCCGGTCTTAGGTCACCAATCTCGGAGAGGAAGATATCGCATTTATCCCGAACGTCACGTGGTCATATCCGGCACACATTCCTCTCACAATCAACGAGCCTATTACACGCACACATCACACTCGCACACACGTGTGCACGGCACGTGCCACCTGCTTGACCCGAGCTGAACGATCGACCGCCTTTTACTAACCAGCTGGATGTTTCCACAGAGGCTGCAGCTTCTCGGGCACGAGCTTGCCGATGACGTTCATCGAGTTCCTGTAGATCACTGACATGGCTGTAGGGCCCGGGGAGGCGGTCGTCGACTCTATGGGATGACTACTTGGAGATCGGACACGAAGTAATGGCAAGCGGCGGGCAGACGATTCGCAGACGATTCGCAGACGATCACGGCATCCGCACTCCGCGGCTGAGAGACGCCAAGTGTGCGGATTGGTCGCGACGCTCGCGTGGCTGCTCCCCTCGATCTCCCTGTCCTTTTACACGAATCACATGGAGTAGTGGCTCCCCGTTCAGACCGCGCCAGAGATCGACGGTTTACACGCGCCAGACTTTAAAATATTTTCTGGCCGCCGTGGCCGAAACTTGTGTGATGACTACAATGCGGCGTGGCTGCACGCAATCGCAATGCCGCTACTAAATGCTGCTAAAGCGACGAGGGTGGGACACAGAGGTTGCTACGATGCCGACCCAATGTGTGGAAATATGGACCGATCGATGGAAAAATGCATGGATCTTTATAGAGAAATGCGAATTGGAAAGACTTTATGATTTTCTCCATCATTTCAGATTTATTACCGATCTATCGTTTTAATGAATTTCTTACCTTGAAAATGCATTCATCATCAATGATTCTGGTTACCGCGCTACATATTTTTACTTGCACGAAGAAGACTACTCATCCAGGAGTCGAAACATGTCACAAGTTGATGATTTGAAGATTTGCGATATTGTAAAGTTATTATTTTAATTCTACGTTATTTACGTTTTTGACAATTTTTACATTTCTTTTACGTTCTGACTAATTCATTAAAAAGAAAAAAATTTTTTTTTTAATTCTGACTTTTAATTTGTCTTTCTACTTCACTATTTGTTTATAATTTTCTGTTTTTTCCAGGCGGCTCATTAAATTTCAAAATGTAAATCTAGTTCGCAGACACAGTTGTGCTCAAGAAAATTATAAAAATGTTCATGTTTCTTATTTTCAGTTTAGATTAAGAAATTAAGCTCATCAAATGTTACTTTCAGAATAAAAATGTTTTAATTATAGAAATGATAAAATCTTACAAAATTTTGTAATTATAAATTTCTGTAAATTTTAAATTTAACAATTTTTTGAAATATTACATTTCAGTTTTTAGATATTAAATATTCTATTTAACATTGAAATGAATATACGAGTAAAAATAATATAATAAAAAACGAGAAACCAGTTCGCCTTCCTCTCTATCGTCGCGAATTATAAATAGATTTTCGTCATAAAAAGTTATTAATTTTTAAATAAATGATCAAATCTGATTGTATAACTTCGCTGTACATATGTATGTATCAAACTTGTGTAGGGAAAACTTGAATAAACGACCTTGCGGAAGTGTGTTTGCTGACATTGGCCGAGAGTTCCCAATCGGACACTCGGACGTTCGCCAAGTCGACTTCTCTTTCACGACGGTTGAGTTCTCTATTAATAAAACAAGCTGTATTTGTTCCATCGTTTTTAGAGATTATTATTTAATTCCAAATAATATTTGGTATGTACGTAAAAAAAAAAAGTTACAATCTTGATAACTTATTACCAATTTTTATGAATCCAAGTCAATGTAGTAATAAAAAGGGATGTATATGAAGCACATTCTTGCGTGTGTACACAAATTTTATTTATATCTTCATATATTTTTATAACAGTGTAATCAAAATATATGAATACAAATACTGTAAAGTCTGTAAATAACATACAAATAAAACGTAAGTAAAATATTGAGCTTGACATCATAATGTATAATCTAAATGATGAACACATAAATAATTGCATCGCCCAATTTTCTAACTAACGTTCCTAAATAATTTTCTACTAGCTTACACTTGTAATAGTTACTGTAATTTACAGAAAAAGATATATATATATATATGTATAAATGCACATTACAGTCCCTGCGTATGCATACATATATAGGATTCTTACTAATTATAAGATGCAATTATTGTTCTCTAGACTTATATATAAAATAAGAAAAATATACATATGAGATCAACTAAAGTTCAATTTTTTACAAGTGTAATAATTCAGTGAGATTCGATCACGTTTTATCTCACGATACTAATAAAGAATTGGAGAGTCGAAAAGATTATGATACATAAAAAATAATAATAAACGAAATCGGTACAAAATCTTAGCGATAATACGATTTCTTATGTAAGTATGGTACATTATTTGCAAAATTTTTCTCGAATCTTCTGTTTCGAGAGTATTAGAATAAATATGATATTATTAAATAGAACAAGTGGAGCAAAGTTTTAATCACAATAGAGCTTTGATGTAAAGACGTCATTTAATCACATGTACGTCTTTAAAATAGATATATAAAATGTGATTTCTTTACATATTTCTTTACTCCATTATGATCTTACATATACTTTATCCATAAGGCACATGAATTATACATATGTAATTAAAATTTATGTTTTTTTACAATGAAACATTATTACGTACACGCAAAAAAATATCATTACGCAAAGTGATTACTCAATTTAATTTCTTTCTTTTAAGTGACGGTTGTTATCTTTAACAAAAATATATTTTTGATAACAATCTTAAAATATGCTTATTATAAAATTTTAAAAGAACTTATATATTTATTATTACTTAAAACAAGAATTTAGTTTCATTTCAAGAATATTCTGAAATGGAACGGAGAAACAAACTTTTCATAATAAGCAAATTGTTTTAACTATTGAACTTACAAAGATTTCAGAATATATTTTAAATTGAAAAAAATTGAATTATGCGATGATTTACGAATATATGAAATTCTAAAATACTTGAAATAAGTAATTATCACTTTCGTATTTTTCTGTGTGTAGGTTTTATAATATTATTCTACGCGTATTGATACTGTATGCATACGTATAAAATATGGCAACCATTTGACTGGATGGAAACAGTATAATTCATGAACTGTCATGCTTATCAGTCTTAATTTCATTTTTAATACAACACTCTGATATAAAAAACAATGTATCTAAAAAGTATGCAATATTAAAAATATTACTTACAAATGTTATTTGTCTGTAACATTCTTGATCGTATTACATTGTTATATATATTTTATATACAATTCATTTCAAATATTTTCATACATATTTTGTAATACATTTTTCACAATTAATATATTTATGAACGTTATGTTTACCGCTTTTCAAATTATATCTGTTATACAGGCATTAATATAAATATGATAACTTTGGTTATATATAAGCAAAAAAATCTGTATATAAATATATAAATAATAAATTAACTTTTTAGATTAATTTTTATATTTTATCATTTTTTACCACAGAGATTTATATTTATATATTATTCTATATTATATTATTGCATGCAATAATGAATTTTTCATTACATGATTACTTTAAAAGTTTATTTGATATCAAAATACGCAATAATTATTCAAAATTTCTTCAAAATAGCATTGATACTAAATATTTACACAATTTTCTCTCACAAACAATAATTAAAATTATATTATATATGTAAATAATTTATGTATAAAATTATTTCAATTTTGAAAAATGTGTCAACATTTATAATCAAATTGTTAGATTAACATTTTCTGAGAGCTATGCATTTAGTAAAAAACGTTGTAGCATATTTATAAACAATCAGTTAAAGTATAAAAATGTAGCATATTTATAAACAATCAGTGCAAGAGTATAAAAATGTATCTTAACGCATGTATATTTTGGCAGCATGAAATATTTCTATAGGATTTACGGATGGCACAAATACATACTGTCTGTTATACAAGTATTACACAACTGTGCAATTATTAATGCACCCGGTAATGCTTTTCTATATCTTCAGTAATGATTTCAATAACAGAACAATAAAAATATCATATGTTAAGATTTCATATTAAATAATAGAATGAGAGCATATTAAATGATTTTTTGAACTATATGAGAAACTTTAAGATAATAAAAAACTTAAAATGATACAACACGAGTAATATTATTATAGTAAACTCATGTAGTCTTGTACGACAGACCGTATATGTTTACAATCCAGCTATTTCTTTATAATATATTTTAACAGTACTTTTTTTCTTGCACACATATAGTAAATAAAAAATTTTACTTTAAGAATTGTAAAAAGATGTTATATATAAAAATCAGTTCTGTATAAGTAGTAAAAATTGGAGTTAATTAATTTGTTAAATGCAAGTGACAGTAAAAAATATTGCTATAAATATATACATATATACACACATATATATATATATATATATATATATATATATATAAATTTTTTTGACTTTAAGGGAAACATAATATGGTATTATTAGTGAAACCTTTGGTGACGTTGTCAAGATCAGGTAAGGTTACGTTAAATTTTTTTTAAATCCTTCATTTTTCACATTAGTATTCTTATTGTTTACTTCAAGATGTAATCAATGACACGTAATCGCGCGTCGTGTGTGTAAGTGCTATTTCTAATATGACTGATCGTCTTTAGGATCCCCTTAAGTATTTTTCGAATTATAAACAGGAACTCGGGCCGAAAATCCGAAACCGAAATCGGACCGTAACAGTTACTTTTGTCGGACCAAAATCGATAATCGGAGCGAAATATTATGCAGGCTAATGGACCAAAATGATAACCAAATCGAAAATGTTTTTCGGTTCAAACTAATCATAGTCGATTATTCTCCTCTCATTCGACTATGATTCGTTAATTCTTATAGATTACGGAAAAAGTGAACAGATTACCGTCTATTATAAACCAACCCTTAAACTATAATCACACTACAGACTCCCGACTCTGACTCGGCTACTGACTTGGATTCCTAATACTATAATTCAACTAATCACAGCAAGGCAGCAGCTGACTCTAACTGCCGACTCGAGAATAGAAATCACTCTATTCAATCGACTCTGAGTTAGGAGTCGGAAGTCTGTAGTGCTATTACGGCTTTAGAGAGCAAAAAAAGACAAAAAAAAAAAAAACCGAAACCGGAACCGAAACCGTAAATTGAGTATTGTGACCGTGACCGTAATTTTATTTCGGTCCGAGTTCCTGATTATAAGGCTTGAAAGTTACAGTATTTGCTGGTATTCAATCAGCATACAATATTTAAAAAATATTTTTTAAATATTTATTTAACGTAAAAATATTATAAATAAATATTTAAATTATAGTATTGCCCAAGATGTACCACGTGGAGGTTTGTCCGATGCTCACTTCTTCTTGCTCCAAGGGTATTTCGTTTCACGCATGATGTAAATAATGCATCATTTATCTTTGTTCAATGAACAAGGACGAAAGCTGCAGCATGCGCATCAAAAACGGAATGCACCCCAAGTTGTGAAGACGAGAATCGACATGCAAAGTTGTCTATGACAGTCAATTGTTATGCGACTCGGCTGCTAAACGTAAACACATCCGCATAACACGTGAGAGTTGCGTGTATTTTCATTGTGTTCGAGTAACGTTTTCAACATATTATTTCCATTATGTGTTTATCAACGTCGAAATAATGACGGTACTGTAATTTTCAAAGCTTATAATAAAAAAATACTTAATGGAAAAGAGTTTTACTATAATGTTGAAAAGTAAAAGTTTCAAAGTAAATAACAAGATTATGTAATGAAAAATAAAGGATTTCCTTGAAAAAATTCAATGCCGCTTAAGATCTAACCAATGATACCATATTAAGTTTCCCTTAAAGTCTCCCGAAAAACTTTTGTCTGAAACATTTTTCAAGAAAACGCATATTTTTAAAGAAATTCTACGGTCTCTCGCTCTGTTACACCCTATATATACTTTTCATCATCATCAGCTTGAGCACATGTGGTAACATACTATATAAAATGTTTCCTAAACATTAAGTCGTATATATTAACGGAATTCTTATAATTGTACCATTGCATCATTATACATTAAGCCTACAATCTTCTGTCGAAGCATTATATGCATAGACAAATAATACTATGAATTAGTACATAATTACTTTCAAATTTTCAAATAAATAACATAATCTCTGTTGTTATGATATTAATAAATTTTTCATTGAAAAATTAATTCTAGCTTATAGGTTGATGGTCCTACACAAATCTTAATTGATGGACTCATCAATCAGTTTAAACGTATTAACTGATCCGTACATGTCAACCATAACAAATTTAGTAAAATCAGGAGAGATACATACTTTTGGATCGCGGCTTGATGGTAATGCGACAACCGTTAGTAATTCTGGTCTTTCAGGATTTTTGCCTTTTTTGTTCTCCCAATATCTATTTACACTGTTAACGGTGTAATTCGAATTGGATGTACTCGATATCATTTCATCTTGTATCTCAGATACGCCGGCATCTATGCTTCGACTATTAGGTACTTGTAGATCCCAAAATGAATTCGAACTGAACGAAGGAACGCTCGTACTGCGACCCATCCGACTTCTCGTATTCTTTTTTGTTGTCTTTGTTAAAGCAACATTCCACCAAATTAATTCATCGTTCGTCAATGACAATAAAATTGGAACATTTATGGTAACTGGAGCCCAATACAATTGTATAATAGGACTGGCGTGAAAAAATAATCGATTAATCTCCATCCACTTCTGTATATCGATAATCTGAAAAAAAGTATATATTATTAAATGTATACTGATTTTGATGTAGAAATTTATCATCACACATAAAATACTTACAGAAATTTGTCCCGATTCAAAGCCAACGGCGATATATCGTTCATTTTTTGAAATATCACAACAAATTGCCTTCTGGGGAAAACTATACGTATGATAAAACTGTTCAGTTTCCGTAGTGCTTCCGTAGAAGTTTCCGTAATTAATATATAATAAAATTAAATGATGCAATTCATTCAAAATTGCTAAGTATTTTTGGTTGCAACTTAAACAACTAAATGTAATACTTGAAAACAAATTAGACAAGTCTATTTGACTTATTAGTCTCCAATTCATACGTATACACAACAATGCTATTATGCCATTCTGCATTACTATCATAATATACTCGTCGTCTATTACGTAAGTATTATGGATGATTTTTTCTGCTAGATTCGAGTGCACGATTTCGAACTTACTGATTCCCGACAGCCGCATTCGCTAAAATATTAATCAATACATTTAATCACCTGTTTAGTATTTATACAAATTTAGGTAAATAAACAATATTAAATTTTATAGGACCGTGAGAATTGAAGTCAATAAGAAACAAGCCTTAACGGTCAAGCTGGATCTTGGGTGCTTCTATAATTGCATGCGAATTGATATACTACGTATATAGTTTTTTTTTTACCTGCGCGTCGAATTTTTTCAGACTTGAAACGCAAGCTCTACTAAACAACCGTAGTAATATCATGTGTTAAATTGACTAACAATTTAACAATTTTTTATGCATATCAAATTATGCATCGACCTTATTATTCAATAACATATTAAAATCTGTAAATAATTAATTCTGCAGGAAATGTAAGAGATCCGGGTTCGATTTCCGACCAAGGTAATTTTTCGCAATAAGAATTAATTATTTACAAATTTTAATATTAATGTCATTGAACATTATTAAGATCAATCTAAGATGCATAAGAATGGTTAAATTGTTAGCCAATTTAACGCATGATATTACTACGGTTGTTTGATAGAGCTTGCGTTTCAAGTCTGATAAAATTCGACGCTCAGTTTACAAAAATTACATACGTAATATATAAATTCACACGCAATTATAGAAGCACCCAAGATCCAATTTAACAGTTAAGGCTTATTGGTTTTGGTAGATAATTTTCGAAATGTTAATAGTAAAGCAGTTGTTTATCAAGCAAAAGACTGAAAATAGACTAAAAATATATAATATGCATTTATAATGTATGTTCTATAACAGTAGATCTCTATAGATAAGTACATATACAGTAGAAAAAAAGAAAAAGAAAAAAATTAAACTCAACTGGAATTTAATATACATACCTTCAAATCATCGTTCTCCTCTTTGCATAATATCGTATTATAGTTAAAACGATGAATAATCTTTGCAAATTGAATTGGTTTATCTTCTTCGAAAATCTTAAAGATTACCCCATTTTTTAAACTTATGAGCTCTATTATTTTATTATCTAAAACATACATCGCCGTGTTTGCATCGGGAGACAATTGTAGATTTGATATGATTCCTTTTATTACTCCAGTTTCCGTTATTACATCTTCTCCATATAACACTGTAATATTCTTTTCACTGTAGTTCTCTTTGACTATAATGTCCTTTTCGTCATCGGATACAATTGCGTCAAATAAACACTTCCTAGTTTAATAAAAGAGTCATATAGTTTATAATTAAGTTAAAAAAATATATATGTGTATATAAAAAGAGGATGTAAATAATTTTGAATATTAGATTACCAAGGTAAGTCATTTGATTTTTGTATTGGAAGTTTCCATCTGTATAATGCGCCATTCCCATTCCCACATATCTGAAAGAAAATTTGTTGAATTTCAAAGATAATTTACAAAATTTAGTTAAATATATTACTAAAAGAATGATACATACAACATGATAGCTTTCGTTTAACAAGAAAGAATCCAAAGATATGACCCGACTTTTGTAAATCGCGATCGGTTGAAATTCAGAATTGATATTCCATACATTTATAAAACCCGAAGAATCAGCTAATATTATGTATTCACCGTCATATGTAACGGTCGCGCATACATAAGTTACTACATCATCAATATATCCTATCATCTTTTTGGTAAAGTTATACGCAATCCCCTCAAGTCTTCTGCACCATTGTACATACATAGCTTCCTTTTTGGTAACGACCATCAACGAATCGTCACGCATGGGTACATGATGAAAGAAAATGACCTCTTTAGATGTAGATTTTAACTGCAGATTATAACAGGTAACATATTTATAAGTAATATGATCATTTCCATAGTTTGTATACACAAACAAGGCACCCTTTTCCTCATCCATTAAGTGCAGTAAGGAAGCATTCGTTGTAAAAGCTATTTTCGTAACGTTAGATTGACTGTAATAAACACATACATATTACTTATTTATACACACGTTATTCTTAAATCAGTTTGTATATACATGTAATTGTACTTACCATTTGGAATAATGTGTTAAAGTATACATTGTGTTTCCATTTCGATCCCATATCTTAAAAAAAGAAATTTTACACATACCTGAATAATATACCTTATATATAGAATTATAATAAAATTTTTATTAACCGTAATATCGGGGCAGTAATATGTTAATAAATAAAAAGTATCTTATTTTATAAAATCAAATAAAACTTAAGAATACCTGAATTGTTGCTTTATCAGTGCATGCAGCGATGTATTTGTCTTCACAACCAAATGCCATATCCAATATAATCTCGTTTTCCACCCTTAATTCTGCTAAGCTATCGTCCTGACCTCTCAAGTTTGCATAAGGATCAGACCAGAAACTTTGTCTTTGTCGGGGGCTTTCAACATGCATATAATGTTGATCAAATATTTCATCCCTCTCCTCGGATAGAGTGAATAATTTTATTATACCAGCACTGCTTAATGATACGAAACAATCACCACTCGTAGATACAATCACTTTTTTGATAGAACATCTTTCTGCATGACCATTGAAGATTTTTTGTTGCTTGCTTTGAAAATTCCACAAAATTATTTTACCCGATGTATTTCCAGTCAAGATTAACTCGGGACCACTTGTGAAAGATGATGTGCAAATATCTGTCGGTATTTCTTCAGTCGATAACATATTAGCATGTGGGCCAATTTTCGTGTGAGATAGATACAAGAACTCTTGTCTTCTCCTAGCTAGATCTTTTGCAGTTTGAATGATGTAACCTTTAGATGAATAACTCATTGCAATTTGGACGATATCTAAGCATTTTTTATGTTTATGTTCTACTATAATGCTTGCTTGTTCTTGAAGAAACCTTTCTAAATCAGAGACTTCTTTCACATATTTATCTGTATAGTCTAATGTAATGTATTTTTTATACTTTCTCAAATCTAATAACAAATCATTTAAACCCGCGTGTACTAATTTAGCTTGAATGAAATCTAAATTTAAATAAAGACGTGGAAATTCCTCAAACAATTCTGCTTGCTCCAGATGATAGCCAATGTACGAGTATATATAATTATCATTCGGCATTTTTGAAAAATCGTTATTGCAGTATTTACGATATTCTCCAATAATAGACTTATGCATCAGCATCAATTCAGTATTAGTTCGTTTTTTCCTTAGATGAATTAGTAGCAAATCGTGCACACCGTAAATATAGGTTTTTAAATCATTATTATATATTTGGGCTGCAAGTGATTTATGGCACAAATCCAACATCAAATCTTCAATTACGTGCGTATCTTGTCTCCAAAAAATTTCTAAAGTCTAAAATATTAAATGAATATAAAAATAAAAAAATATGTATGAGATTTTATATGTATACATCAAATTAAAATATTAAATTTTATAATATTACAAACCTGCGTAGTTATGTTAACATCTTCACAAAAAATAGCTAAGCTCTCGTAATATTTTTTCAAATCTGGTCTTAATTGTTCAATACAAATGTCAAAAATAATTTCTTGTGTTTCCCAAAATTCTTTTATTACTCTGTAACATACGATGCAATAATAATCACATGTAATTTTAATAATCAATACATTATTTAGTATGATTAGAAGTAACGTAACGTTCGTACTTGTTTGTTGTATTTCTTTCCCTCAAAGATTTCAAGTAATATCTCCACCTACTAGTTTTTATACGCATATCATCTTTAAATTCTTCAAATTGCGCAGCAAACATAGCTATTAATAACGGCATTCCTTTACATTCTTCATGTATTCTTTTTGCCTCTGTTGGCAATTTTTTCACGTCCATTTCTAATGCTTTGGCAAATAAGCCTAACGTCTCTGTTTCTGTAAATCCATCATTCATCTGAAAGTAATAAACTATTTTTATTTATATATCTATATTATACATGTATAATATGAACACGAGCGTAGCACAGCAGACAGCGCACTGATCTGTTATGCTAGAGGTCCCAGGTTCGATCCCCGATAAGAACCAAAATATTTATGCTCGTGTCTCCTCTCGGAAAAGGCCGGCAACCTTCCGAGAGTATTCTTGCCACCAGAAACATCTCTCGAAAAATTCGCCGTTCGGAACCGGCATTAGTCCAGATATGCGATGCATTATGAAAACATTATGTCATAAGAAATGAACGAATTACAGTCGATTATAATTCTCGTATTTGACTGTAATTGGTCAATTTCTCATGGCTATTGTAGATTCGGACTTAAAACCGTAGGTCCCATACGCTTGTGGTAATTGAATAACCAGAGTGCGCACCACAAGCATATGAGAGAGGTGTTGTAACACAGGTCAGAGGTTTAACGTAAAAAGAAAGTATCTATAATAATTATAATGTAATAAAATAGTTACCTGTATTATCTTAGGTCTTTTCTTAGATACAACATCGATGTTATCAGTAAGAACTAAAGTCTTACATTTAAAGTCAAAAATATTGATAATCTGTTCATCATAAACATCATCCAGAATCAATAAAGCATGACAATTTTCTTGTTTATTAAAATAATGTTTTAAATATTGGATCAAAGAAAATTGCTCAAGGGGGATAGATGATTCAGGGTGAATTTCTATATGTTTCACGTTGTAGTAAAGTGCATTTAATTGAATCAATATTTCATCATGACGTGAACGATTATCAGTAAATTTAATCCAATAGACCTGATTCTAAAATAAAAAATATTTTTATGCAAAATTATAATATAAAAACACACACACATATATATATATATAATATATATTTAATATAATTAATAAAAATATCATACATAAAATGAATTTTTCACTAATTTTACATCCTTGAGAGTACTGGCAACTAGACTTGATTTTCCAAATCCTTTCAAGCCATGTAACGCAATGTATCCTGTGGGTATTAATTCTTGTAAAGCTATCTTTAACTGGTTAACCTGTAAATGTATGTAAAGTATTATACATATAATAGATAATCTTCATTTTATATCGGAATTATTTATTATAATGTAAACAACCAAATTTTGGCATTACTAATTTTAAGATTACTAGCAATTTTACAACTAAATATCTAAGTGCATGCCTAATGTGCCTAATGAAAAATTCACCAGTGCTTTATGTATATAGATATATAATGAAACACACTGATGAAGTTTATGTAAACTTACGTGATATATGTTTCCACATTCGTATGCATAAAAAAGAATAGTTAAACTAAATAAGAATTAATTTGTCTATTATAATACGACAAGTTATATTTAAGTAACACAAAATTAAATATGTTATTCGAAATTTTTAATAAAAGCCGATTTTTTATTGTCTACATTATATTATTAAAAAAAAGGATTATTGAAGATTATATCAATGTAGCGATAACACGATGTCTCTAAATATATTGCAATTGGAAATTTGCAATAAAGAAATTAATGAAATCAAATAATCAGTACTTAGTTGATAATTTTATCTTATCATTGCTAATATAACCACAATTGATGAATTGAGAGATTAAGTCAGAGTGATTCTTAATATCATATTGATATGATAATTGTACCTTTTCTTCTCTGGTAACCGTTAATGGAGAAAGAGGAATGTTGAGATGCCCAGCATAACAATCGGTTACTCCATTGGTTTCTATTTCATAATTTCCTAACAATTTATCTATTTCATCGCTAAGCCAATCGTAGTGATGTTTTAAGGATTGATGAAAGACACCAAAAGCACTTGAATCACATCTTAAAAATGTTAACACAAACACTTAATGAAATCAGTTTACCATGTAAACTGCATCGTTAAATAAGAATGCAAATTATAAAAATGATTTGTGAGATGCAAAGGCTATTATTAGTAAGTGCAAAACATTAAAATGAAAAATGTAAGATTTTATATAATATTATGTGCAAATATAAAACATGTAATATACGTAAATATACATACAATGGTAGTATATCCAACAATTTGCCTGCTCTCTCTTCTTTACTAACTCCAATATAAATTTTTCTTATATGATCTTCTGTTAAAATATATTCATTCCTTAAAGGTTGTATAATGTCATTATCAACATCTAAATCGTCAATTATTTTCTTCCTCAAACGGCTGAGGATGTCCTTATGTAATTTTTCCATTTTTGGTATCACAACAGATAACACGCCCAATACAAATTATAATTGTATTATAAATTTAAATAGAAATTACTACAAATTTCAGTGCAGTTCTCTGAAATAAATAATTACTTGTTAAATAAAAAAATTCTATAAGATAGTTTCATACTTAAGAATAAATGCAACTAATTACAATAACAATGTTTAATTAAATCTCTGTAAAACAATCAACATCACTAAACTAAAAGAATAATCATGTGTGTGTGTGTATTGGGAAAGTTTTTTTTACATATATATTAAAGGACCTTTATTTTACAATATCTTGGTTAAAAATAATTTAATGAAATTTAAAAAAAGGGTTTTAAAGCTTGAAATCTCTATTTCCTAAAGGTTACTATATTTTTTGAGTTTCTATAAGTTTAGTAATTTTTAAATATAAAAACTACGAGCTGAAGATATCTTTCTGTTTTCAATTTTGTTTCAATTGAAAAGAAAAAAACATTTTCTTTTTACTTCGCACGTCTTTTACGTGTCCAAAAAAAATTTGCAAAAATTTTCGACTACCTATAGGGAAAACTTGAAGCTCTTCCTATAAAATCGTTCTTTAAACATGTTTCTACGATTTTTTGTTCCTAGGTTATTCGCGAGTTAAATAAAGGGATATTCCGATTTTGATTGCACATAACTTCGTTAAAAATTATCATACCGTAAATGAAAAAAAAAAAAACAAATTTTTAAAGCTGAAACTTTGCTCTATCAAATAATTATAACGAAAATTTCGTAATAAATGTTGGATTGGGGAAGGTTCTTACATATATATGTATTATAACTTTATATACATAAATATATTTTATAATATACAGCATTATAATTAAAAAAATATAAATTAACAGAATGCTTACATATATATACATATATACTACAATTAGTTTTATAATTATAAACAATATTTGGGTCACAAATAAAAGATGTATGTTATCTTAATTTATGCTTTCCTGGGATTCGGTGAGAAAACACATTAACTATATATTTACTGTTTTATCTATCGTAAGTTTAAGGAATAGAGTATTCCTGTGCGTATAAAGACACCGATAAGAATTTATCAATCCTTTTTACTTTTATCTTTTTATATTTTTCTTTCTTTCTTACACATGTGTGTCTTAAGAGAGATATACTAGAAAAAGTTAAAAAAAAAAAAAACAATACAAATTAAGAAATTGAAAAATTAGAAATATATTTTTTTTAATCATTTTTACTTCATCCTTTTATTTTTCTTTCTTTCTTACGAATGTAAGCTCAGGAGATATACATCCGAAACGAAGATCGTCGAAATATGAATTTAAGAATAAAAACGGAAGATGTTACCGTATCTTAATTTGTTTAAAAATAGAAAGTTATAAATCGGGAAATAAAGAATAACCAATATTAATGCGTTTTTATTAAGCTTGTACGTTAATTGCGTCATACATTTTCTATTGAAAAGATAAAAGCAATCTCTCTCTCTCTCTCTCTCAAGATTTTATTTACAATTCTGTTAATTAATTTAAATTACAACCGCTGTTAAGATGAATCCAACGAATTATATCCTAAGAGTGCAAAAAATAAAGCCATCAAAGCATAAATATATTAATAATTTTCCGCACGTTGCTTTCTTTTCATTTATATCATAATTTCCGGTACATTTTGTAAAGCAAAATATAGAACTATAACGACGGAAAAATATTAGAAAACAAATTCGAAAAATTCTATCAGTCGCGACTGACCTTTAACGATATTGCGAATCACGAATAGATCGCGAATACAGAGACAATGAGAATCTCGCATTCTTGAAAAGATACATAACGGATTTTTGGCGCTATAGAGGCGATTTGATCTTTTCACAAAAGCATGCATCGTATTCTCAGAAATAAATATCAACGCCTCTCTTTTTCTCGATATTACTTTTTCTATATCAGCGTCGAGATGTGCGATATCCGAGTGCTCTTACCTTTTTTTTTTCACCTCTTTTTTTCATGCACTTCGCTCTATAATCGCCATTTTAATATGCTTGACCAATGGTGTGCTTCTCATCCTCTTTAAGTGACAATCCTCCTATTCTCTTCTTTCTTCCTGACCATTCTTTTCCCCTTAGACAGATCCAGCTGCTCCGTTTCGCGTCGAAGAGATGCTCCCTCGAAATGCCGAATCGCACGGACGTGCGGATCTTTTAAAGCGGCCGATGTCTCTTTGTTCGGAAAACGTGAGTAATCTCTGGCGGGACGATTGTACCTGTCTCCTCCACGGTTGACGAGCGACTGTGAAATGCTGTGAAACAGGTACTACAGTCGGACTCGCGCGCCCGCGTTAAGTGCGACGTTGCCGATACGCGGCGCTGTTGCCAAATGTCATTGTTCGCCCGATAGCGTGATTACCTCCCCCTACCGTCAGTCCATCAACGACGCGGCACACAAAGGACATGTAAACATTGTTACTGGAACATTTTCAGAGGACAAGCGGTGGCCGGAAGCATCCTTTGGCAACAGGACGTCCGCGATTCACGAAAGGGCAGTCGCGCGAAGTCATAGATTCTACACTCCTGAGCTACAACACGTCGTTGAGAACCTCGAGAAACTGCACTCGGCTGCATTCAGCACTCTGCAATCAGCCAGTTATGGCAACATGGCGCTGCTTGACATGGCGGTGGTAGGAGAACGTCAGTGCTGCACCCTGCTACTGCACTACTGAACGAAAGCAAAGAGAGAACTGTTTAGATATGATCCTTCTTTATACGATGAAAAAAATGTTGCTCATATAGTATCGATGAATGGCATTTATTGGCTTGAAATTCATCGGTATAATGAACTTTTAATAGATATTATGAATATTGTATTGAGTATTTTAACTGGATTTATTAATATAACAAATCACTGTTTATTAATATGATATTGTACTTGAATAGGAACGTTTAATTAAATCAATGAAAAAGTTCATTCTTCCAACAAATATGTTCGTAGACTTAATAAATTCATTCATTAGATGATAAAATTTTATACAAGTGATAAAATACATTCATTATATTAACGCATTTTTTTATTAGTTAATAAAGTCTGTGAATAATGTACATGTTCATATACATATTCATTGTCACAATGAATTCTAGTAATAGTTTAATAACTCAAATTAATCAATTTATAAAACCTAAATCATTATAGGAATAAAATTGTTCATTGGACCAATTTTAATGAATTTTCTATTAATACCAATGAATATTTTTATTGTATTTACGTACATTTTTGGTTCAGAGTGTAGTTTCCTTACTGCGAGTTTAGGACAGACACTTTTAGATGTTATAATTAAAGGGGACGTGACGTGCTGTAAATAAAACAAGCATTATTATAAACGAAACTCTGACATTTAAATATCTAATAATTGCACTCTACTTTTATTTTGAAACGGATTCTAAATGATTTTATATTAATTTCTTGATAAATATTTGGTTTTTATACTCAATATTGACTTTTAAAGAGTCTGAAAACGTACTCCGATATGGTCTAGTGGCTAGGATACCTGGCTCTCACCCAGGAGGCTCGGGTTCGATTCCCGGTATCGGAATTTCTTTTTTGTCATATATTTATGATATATAATTGTTAATAAATTTTTGAACGCAAATACTTCGATTTAAAGGTTTCAGATATAATAAAAAAAAAAAAAAAGATTAATACGAGCGCGGAGCAAAAATAACCCTGCGATGGCCGGGAATCGAACCCGGATCAACTGCTTGGAAGGCAACTATGCTGACCATTACACCACCATCGCAGATGCAGACAAGCCTGTTCAAAACAAATGTAAGCTGCATAATTCAATATGGCGGAAGATAAATCGAAATAAAAAAGAGCATCTGTAACGATTTAGAATTAAAATTAATTGCTCTGAAAAAAAGATTATTGTGGTGATCGTCATTGTACTGCGTATGTACGATTAATAAAATTTTTCGAATGTTTCATAGCGATGACAATCGATACATTTTTTATATGCTCCATATATAAATTTATAAAAAAAAAAATTAAAAAATAACTCCCTGCGATGGCCGGGAATCGAACCCGGATCAACTGCTTGGAAGGCAACTATGCTAACCATTACACCACCATCGCAGTTAGAAACTAGTTCTATATAAGTATACACATTGTAGAAGAAGGACATTGATTCGTAATCCTTTTCGAACAATATAATTAATCAAATTTTGCTCTTTACAACTTTCCATAAATATTAAATTATTTTACCTTTATTTTTTCCTTTTATATATTTTTATTAAGCTTCAAATTCAGAAACAATACAACATATACTCTCCAATTAGAAATAGATTTAATATTTGCAGAAGATAAAAGAAATTTCATTTTGTCGATTTTTTTCTACGATGGTCGTTAAAATTTAATATAAATAAATTTTTTTCGATATAAACAAAGCATAAAATTTAAATAGACAATCTGAAGTACGTTAAAAAATATCTATTGATAACAAACGCAATACTAACGCAATTAGTAAAATTGATAACCGAGTTCTATTTTACGAAACCATTTATAATTTAAGCGTACTCTATTGATGATTTCATATACACTTGTAAACATATGACTCACTTTTATATTACGTTTCTTAGCAGATAAATATAATCATTAATCTCCGTTATCCAAATATCGGTTACAAGTTGTATTTATATACCGATGATTTCAAAGAACATGCGGGAAAACTATATTATGTTATCAAAGAAGTAAAACAAAGTAAAAATATTTTTCCTTTTTCTCGATAAAAAACAACGTATCCACTGAGAAAAATGTCTCGGAAAAAACTAATACAGTATCGTAGACTTAATCTTGTCAGTAACTTTAAATTGTAACATAATGGAAAATAGAAAATACACAGATTACAATTTTATAGCAAATTAATTTTCTTACATGCAAACACAAAAATTGTGACTCTGTGTAACAAACGCACAAATAAATTTTATTAATATAAAAAATAAAACATTTTTCTACAACGTTTTAAATAATTATAATACATTAAGAGTAACTTGTTACACCGTTTACGAAATTATGCCATCAAATTTAGTTAAAATTTATTGCGTTATTGTAATGCTCTATAAAATAATATTCTTAAGGGAGGTTTCACCTTTGCCGGCCGTAAAATTAGCTCATTTCGTGAATTTTTTAAAAATAAAAAATTAATTGTTTTACAATAATTGTATATATTTTTTCTACAATTTGTCATAAAATATTCTGGCAAAATTATCAAAAACCACTACACCTTTTAGATTTTGTTAATCCTGCAATATTTTACGGCCTTAAGCAATATTCGTCAATTGATTTGAGACAAGTTTCTTAGAACAATCTTTTAGACGTGTTTATTAGACACAAATTATCTCTATTTGTACTATTATTTGTAAAAGAGCATTCTCCAATTGTACTATAGTATCTGGTGCTATATTTTTTTTCTGAGCGTTGTATCCATTGTTTTGTCGAATAATATTGTTCAAATAACTTGTTCATCTATTCCAAGTAAAAATCTATCAACATTGCTCCAAAATTTAATACATTGATAATTTAATTCGGGTGCGACACATAAATTCGTATATATAGTAATAATTCGCCGCAAAGTCGATATCAATCATCGCGCCACTCAGTCTGCGGCAATTTAATCGACATTCAGTCATATAGATGCGGGATCCCCCAAACGATTTTTCGTAAACCGATATAACCGCTGAATGTGCATCGGTAGATAATGAACGCACGCGGCGCATTGTTTTCCGCTCGCCAATTAAACAGCATTTTACCAGTCAGAAATGATGGGCTCGCCAATTAAGCAGCATTATCCGGCTCCTAAAGCTGCTGGCCAAACCTGCACCTTTATCTGTGAAAATTAAAAAACTTTAGACGTTATAAACTCAGACGTATTGTGTACGTTCAGACTTATCTATTTACATGCTTTAAGGTTTGAAGTGATTAAAGCTTGTCTTAACAATCGACTGCCACTTAGGAAGATAACTTTAAATAAACGAGATAAAATTTCTGCCACTCAAGTGAAGAGGAATGATGTAGATCAGGGATTATACTCTGGGCAAATATCACATACAAAAATGTACGAAAATAATATAGTTCTATAGTAGGTATACGACACTTTATATTTATTAATTTCCCTATTTCCATGTACAACTTTTTTTGAGTGTAAAGCTCCTAAAGAAAGTGATTGAGAGAATTAAGTCGAATTCTGTTTAAAGCTACTAGAATTCTAATTGAAATAACTGAGATATTCAAAATTTCCTAATTAAATCTACTAGAATTGATAAAAATATATAGTTTTATCAAAAATCTACCACAGTTAAAAGAATTGTGTATTGGTGTTGGAAACGGCCCACTCACGTCTGTGTTAAATTTTTTAATATATTCGAGTGTTAATTTAACATAATGTGATTATGTTATTTAAAAGATTTTGTGTGAAATTGATATTCAACGTTTTTTGGTTTCAAAGTGACATAATTTATGAGTAAATGGACAAGTAACATAAAAATAGTATTTTAAAACGTTAAGGCAAATGAATGAAATAGGTGTTAATTTAACATATCATAAATGTTTATTTTCTGAAAAAAAAAAAAAAAAAAAAAAAAAAAAAGATGTATAGTTAATCAGAATTTCGGATAGTTCATTTTTCACCCTAGAATTCCAATTAATTCAATGAAACATTTACCTCCGAGTAGTACTGTTTGAGATATAAAAGCATTAACTTGACGTGTATATTCATGCCTATTATTAAACCTACATTGACGCTTTGTGAATATACGATGTTGAATACTCGAGGTTGACAAACGAGGCTCTACGATCGAACGAATTAGGCAAAGCTATCTTCATGCTTATTTGCTTTTGCTCTGATATATGCTCCGATGGTAGAATTTGCGAGCAATATAACGGCGAGAACGAACTGCGTGATTAGCGCGGTCAGTTATTTGCATCGACACGGCGCGGCGGAGATACGCACACATTCCGAAATTCTCTCAGCGCGAGACACAATGCAAATTCGATTACGTTAGAAACAGCATTTGGCGCTCGGCCCACATTAGCCACGCTCTGGTTACTTGTTTGATTAATTTGCCGCGGATTTAATATCACGAACAATTACGCTCGCGGAAGATCTATGCTGGTAGCTCGTAATTCCGCCGCACAGATCGGGAGATATCCAGAAGATGAAATATTTTTAACTTCTACAAAAGACGTGTAAAGTTATTAAAATGAAAATAAAGATCATTACTTTAGAAAAACTTATATAAATGATATTTGATGTAATTAATTTTATAATATATTTTTACTTAGGCATTGAAATGCTTATTCCAATATAATTATTGATATACAAAAAAAAAA